GTACCATCTATGTAATCATGTTAGTGTGACTCTGACCAGGTGATGCCTCACAGTGAGGCAGAGAGGTCTGTGTATCAGAATAACTTGAAGGATTTTTCAAACTATTCCTTGCCTTGCTCCTTCCTTCCGTCACCAGCTGAGAATCATGACTAAAGAAAACTTTGGTGGCTGGTGCCATCAAGTAAGGGACATAAGTGTTGAGTTCTAAATAGTGGGAGATTTACACCCAGGTGATTAAAGTTAAGGGCTTTGGTTTCAGGGAGATCTGAGTTTAAATGTTGCCTCCATCCCCTTATTAACTAAGTATATTATCTTATATAACTTACTTCACCTTTTAAAGTTTCAGTTTCCTCACCTGTAAAGCACCTGCCCTTAAGGTTGCTCTGTGTCTGCCACTTAGTGCTCAATAGTTTTGCCTTTGGTTCATTGGTAACCCTGACCTTAATGATCCATTCTGAACCGTGGATTTAAGGCAATATTTGTCATCCTATGAATTTACCAATTATTTCTCTCCTAAATGATTAATAAATGTAGAATCCTTGTGAATATATATGCTTAAATATAGATTTTTAAGACTGTAAATACCACAAAGATGAACCTAAAAAAATCTTAATTTTATGGATGGGGAAACTGAGGCTCAGAAAGGCAAGATATTTACTCAAAGTTGCAGGGAAGATATGTACAAGGATCAGCACTAGAGCCATATCTTCTGTCTCCAGTTCAGCACATTTTAGTTCTTGCCTCTCTCAAACCACACAGTTAATAAAAGTAAATATACTTCTGCCCTAGCTGGTTTGGCTCAGTGGATAGGGCGTCGGCCTGTGTACTGAAGGGTCCCAGGTTTGATTCCAGTCAAGGGCACATGCCTGGGTTGTGGGCCCAACTCCAATCCCCAGTAGGGGGTGTGCAGGAGATAGCCAATCAATTCTCTCTCATCATTGATGTTTCTATCTCTCTATCCCCTCCCCTTCCTCTCTCTGAAATCAAAAACATCCTAAAACAAC